CTTTTCTTGCGTCGCCACAAGCCAGAAAGTATGTTTGGCTAGACCACTTCAGTGGACAGCGATCGCGGAATACTATCTTGCTTCAAATTACAAGATGTATTCAATTAGTTTACAGACAAAATATAGAAACTTCAGCTGAAACATTTTTCATACCAGCGTGATTAGGAGACCCTTGTCTTCGACCTTACTTTGTGTATCAAAAAATTCACTAATTTGTACGAAAGAATTCTCAAAATGCAAGCGTTAATCGGGCTGAAAAAGCATACCAGTTCATAGTTTATACACCAATGAAACTTCCGTCCACCAACATCTTAAAAACAACGCAAATCCATGTAGTTGCTCAATTGCGCTCGTGTCAAAGATCGCTTGCATAATTCTGAAAATTGATCAAGATCTCCTTTTCACCGTTAAACTTCGTTCGTTTACGTTCTAAGTTAAGGATTTTAGGTTTTGATAACAACTGAGTGGAAAATAGATGCCGAGTTGTCCTAAAACGTTACGTAAACGTTATCGGTCGCAACGCTTGCGCGCTTGCATGACTTACAAAAAAAACAGAAGTGATCGAAAGGCGCCTTCTCGATAATTTACGTTGAAATATCAGATTATGAACTAAGCAAAGTGTGGAGAATATCAAAATTAAAGAACAAAATTTGGTACTTTGGTCATTACAGACATTGCGTGACGTGATTAGGCAAATTTTTCCCTTTCCATATCACCTGTTTCGCGGGTTCTACGAATTGAAACCAAAATTAGTCAATATAACGAATTAGAATCGAAAGTTATTCAAATGGACGGAAGAACTTTTCATTTTAATGAGAATTTTATCTTTTAAAATGTTGATATGGAACAAATGAAACAGTTATTAGTATGTTCCAAACATCCTAACACTTAAGGAAACATTGGAAATGCGGTGAAATTACTAATTGACACCCACAACATAAGGGAAAATGTGAGGCAGTTTAACTAAAAATTGATTCGTAAGTGCCCATCTGGGCTATCTACACTAGCAGACAAAACCAGAATTCTTTTGACATAATCAAAGGACAAATTGTGTCATGACAAATTTTTGCCTCGCTTTTTGCGTCCGCTTAAAATTTCAAAGCTGTCAAATTTTGTCAACGCTTGATCTGCTCATGAGACCAGCCGGCATATTTTGTCAATGGACTAAATCTACAGTTTCTAGGATTCATGGTACGTCGTTTCAAAGTTTTGAAATTCTCGAGTCTCGCACCAAAAGAAATTTAATTTTAGTCAGTTCAAAAACAAGCCGGTGGCAGCTTTTTAGACAAATGGGCGTTGAACACTCAGTCTCCTGTCACTGCCTCACATTTTCCTTTTTACTCTGGATGCTAAAAAATACTTTTACTGCATTTCCAGTGTCTTCCCTCGTGTTCCGATGTTTGTGTGTCGTTTTAAGCAACGCGATATGTCTGTAATGACCAGAGTACCAAATTTTATTCTTTAATTTTGATATTCTCTACATTGTGCGTAGTTCATAATCTGATATTTCAACGTAAATTATCGAGAAGGCGCCTTCCGATCATCTCGATTTTAAGGGGGAACATGGAGGCGGTTAGTGGTTGCCAAAGACTGCCGATGAGGAAAGGGGGAGGGGAGGGGGGAGGAGGAGGGAAAGAATCATAAGAATATTGTGGAGGCTACGGAGAAATCAAGTAAATCTAATAGTGACACAGAGAAACCAACATCCTACGCACCCTGCAAAGGTTGTAGGTTAGAAAATTTATTTGTGTAAAAAAAAAAAAAAAAAAAAAAAAAATTGCACCCAAACTGATATTTACGGTTCAGGCCTGATTGCCGATTAAATGTAAATTAATTAAATTAAATTAATTAAATTAAATTATTATCTGGCAATTTGATTCTAAAACAAATAGTTATTCCATAAAATGCCAATGTAGCCAGGTAAGTGTTGTTGCCCTAGCTAAATCTGTGGTTAAGAAAATTACTTAGCACCTGGAAAAAAAAGAGGCATAAATAAAAATTGAATCAACTTTAATTAGTTACAGCCTGAGCAACATAAGTGACGCTGGTTGTAAATGCATTTCGTATTTTCCCATTCCATGGGCAAGATAAAAGTTCAAAGTCCGTTAATTACTCTCGATCCCGCACAGGAATCCCAGTATCAATGTGGCGAGCTTGAGAGTTTCCTCTGTTGTCACCTTGCCTTTGATTAAATGCACTTGGGTGGATTTTTTGGACTCTTCTTTTGAAACGCCCCCTTATCTAGATAGGAATTATAAGTCAAATTAGAGGTACTCATTATGTTTAACCGGCTTTTCTTGATATGAATAACAGACTCAAAATTCATATTTACCTCACTATTTCCCAAGCAGTGAAAGAAGAAAATGAAGAATCCCTTCAACAAAATATACATAAAACTTTATCAGTTGATAGAAAAACAAATAAGCAAATAATTACAGAAATAAAATTCGATTTACTCTTCAGTTTGTGTGTTTGTTTGTTTGTTTGTTTTTTTATGTAGAACAACTCAGCTAGAGATCTCCTTTCCTTCTCATCTACCATCGTTTACTTATCTGAGGCTTATTTTCCCGAAAATACGAATCTATCATAATTAAGCAGAGCTCAGGCTTTGCAGATAAAAATACAAGTGCAAAGGGAAGGTTTAAATGGTCTCGAGTCGGCTTATTTACGGAGGGTCACAGGTCTGGTGTCTAAGAGTGAATCTGAATTATCCTGGGATATAGAGACGCTTTTCAGTATTTCTGACGCCTATCACGTTGTAAGTACGCTCTTATCTCTACCCATGAGCAGCCAAATGCTTGAAAAAACCTTTAAGGTTTTAGACGACGTTACCTGCGTGGAGTTAAGGATTACAAAAATGTAGGAGAAGGCGATGTGTAACGGCACAAGGAAACCAATCAGCCACGTGACACCCAGCAATGGAGCTAACACCACGCATGCACGGACACCAAGCCTGGAAGAGACCAAATTAATAGTCACTTGGAAAACAAAAGCGTTCATCTGAATTCGATATAAAGAAAAGTTGAAAACTCTTAGCTTAAATTGAAGGCAATGAATAGTCGCGATATAATGTCGGGAGTGACAAAAGAAGCAGTTTGAAGGCCGTCCATCGAAAACGCACTATATTTTATGTGCTAGGGCGTCATTCAAAGCCTATCAAGCCTGTCTAGGTCAGTTTTTCTTTGTAACAAGCTATGATACGATATTATTTAAAGTCCAAGCACTTTAAAGAAAAAAAATTGACATTATGGAGGCATTTAGGGAGAAGTAACACCACTTATCCCACCTGATCTGCTTAGTTTGGCTCTCCTTCACCTGTTGGATGGTTGTTAATTCCTTGATAACTCGCACGAGGATCATCATGTTAATCTTCAGTTATTTAAAAGGAAAACAAAAGAAGAGGGAGAAGATGAAAAGGGAAAAAAGGAACTGTCGGATATTTTTTATTGCCCTTCCTTCTGTTGTAAGTTTTTAAAGAGGAATTTTAAAGACTCATCAAGAGAATAGAAATGATCGAAAAAATGCTGTTCTAATCAACGCTGAAACAAATATTTTCAGATGACTAAACTGGTATCCATCGAAGAAATTCAATCTGTTGCCACTTACAATTGCGATCAGTCCAACAAAGGAAACAAATATCCAGATGATATTGTTAGAGGAGGACATCCAGCAGCTTAGAATTATAAAAACAAAAGGCACGGGAGAGCAAACATTTTTAATTTGTTGTCTACATCGATAGCAGCATTTAAAGGTGTTTCATGGCAGAATGTCTAATCCAAAACCATTTTTAATGCAGCATGTTGCCATTATATTACTTTCCAAAATTACGCCCTGTTGGATAATAATTTACAAACTCTCCCTCTTTTCTACTCTAATACATGGAGAGATCCACAGCTTGAAAGAGGAGGGTGCTTGGTGGGTAAGGGGTAAGGGGTAAGGAATAAGGGGGGGGAGGGAGGAGGAGGGAGGCCAGTCAAAAAGGCTGCAGGTTTCTGTTATTAAGCTCTTGCATTCCCATGTCCTGGTTTACAAATCACAGGAGGCAGGGAAAAGGGCAGGTTTATAATTTCAGGCTTCCACCATTTTGTATAGAGTCGATAAAGTAAACAAACTTTCAAACTTACTTTTCATCATTGACAAAAGTTTCAATTCCATCATTTCCTATGGCGATACCCAAAGATAGAGCAACTATGATTGCAGGCAGTCCTGAGGAAAGTAATAACGAAAAGCTGTTTAAGTAAGACATTACAGCAAAATTGAGTTCTAGCATTATTACATTTGCCAGAGCCGATGACTGTAGAAGTTGATGATTTTAATAAACCAGCGACTGTAAGTTGTTACGCGAATATATGAATTTTCAATGTGATTTTTATGCTGCTAACTCTTGAAACCTTTTGATTGTAAGTATGAAATTACTAAAACACTGCAAATTAGATATAGATGCGTGATTTCAGCCACTAAATTTGCAATTACAACTAGCTCTAATAAGCACCGGAAATATTTTACGATTAACTCCGGTACACCTCAAGACGATCCAATGATTCATCTAAAAATTTAAAAAACAAAGCCATTTTATGATCTTTTGTTCCTATTGGTTTTGGCAAATCAGAATCGAGATATTTCCTCAAGTATATTATTTAAGTCCTATCCCATTTTTGCTACTTCTCGACAATGCTCCTCACCCCAGCAAAATCCATGATAGGGATGCATTTTGCCGGTAATGTTGTAAACCTTTACAACAAATAAGTAGATATAAATCCCCTCGACAAGCATCCAGCAAAAACTGGCCATCAGGAAATACTGCATAAGAGCGGCCACAGCTACACAAGCAGCCTGCAAGGAATAGGTAATCCGTTAGAATGTAATAATTTGCCCGGCAAATGGTATTTGTCAAAATAATAATCCGAAAAACAAAAAGATACATAAACCAAAGAAAACAGAGCGAGAATTAAAAGAAAACAGAGGAAAGTTACAGCATACATAGAAACTATGCAAACAAAAAGACACAAATAACCAGGAAAAAAGAATCACTCTATAGATCAGTCGGTCTTTAAATCAAAAAGAAGGTGGATATGATAAAACAAACAAATAAATAAACAAGCACAAGAATAGCAACATTAAAAAAGCAACAACAAAAGTAGAAGTTTAGCAAGTCACCTGGTTTCCTGTGGAGTCAATTCCAGCGAAAAAGACGATATGTCCTGCTCCAATGCAGGAAGTCAGACCAACCCGTATGTGACACAAAGGTGAACTTCTGTCTCTGCAGAGCACAAAGTAAAGAAAATCAAACAAGCTAGTAAAATAGTTACTACATGGAATTTATGTAGCGGTCAGACAGAAACAAAACTAAGGTCAATGTATTGCAAAGGAAACCATCAAAAGGACCAGTGTAAACGACCCACCAAATGGAGGGATAAATATGCTGACATAATACATTTTTACATGAATTAATTAGTGAACAACTAATGGATAAAAGAATACTGACTAGAAAGTTTCTATCTAACATTAACACTTTGTTTGAAGCCATTTTTACTCTTTGTTGAAATATCATTTTCAAAGAAAGATCATCTCAGAACATTTGATTTCTTTTCCAGAAACGAGCAGTCCGTTTTGACGTCGATCCAGAACTGATCTGATAACATATTTTCCATCCTTTTCAATTTAATTAATTTCCTACAATTCGGTTACATATCAGTGTTAATTAAATGTACTTACGTGAGCTGAAGATAGCTGATAATTGTGAGTATGACTCCAGTGAGAGATAAAGCCATCCCTACTCGGGTGAGGAGTGTCAGTAGTTTGTAATGCTCATTTGTCGAACGAGTCTTATCTTGATTGAAAAACTGTAAACGTCATAATTATTTTAATTGTATGAAAGGAAATGTCTACTCTAACAAACATGAATAAATGCGACACTTTTCATGCCTCTATGTACCTTTTTAGATCCTTATGACATTATTTTGTAGCAAAAAAAAAAATAATGTTCACCTTCCCGTCATCAGTATTGTCGGTGAAATCCATGAGCACGGCGAAGTGGGTTAGATGATTGCAAACGCATTCCGTATGATGATCGGATATCATCTTTGTTTGACATCCTTCACTCGACCAACTCCCAAAGCTTTAAAAACAGAATTAGACATGGAGAAAGGATTCAAAATATCTTATTTGATTGGGAACTCCCTCCCCCTCCACCTGAAAAGAGTTCAATTTATTCTACTAATTGCTTTGAAGTGATTTCTGATACTTTTAGCTTCCTTTCCGATGAAAATCAGAAGAATGCACGCCGTGTATAAAATTTATGTTACTGTGGTGCTTACTTTTCTTCAGAGAAGTTCCAGAATACACATGTTCTTTTTTTACGATTCACCTAAAGGAAAAAAAAAGAATTAAGGGTTTTGATTCAGGGCTTAATATAGCAAGGCTTCAGCGCTCGCCTCGGTGATGCACTGCGTATAGGTATAGCTGACTAGTTAGGCGTCATAGTTATAGAATATCAATGTAACCCTTCAGGTTAAAT